ACGTGCTTTTTTTAAAAGGCACACAAATATAAGGCATACAAGCCAAGAAAGGCTGGCAAAATTGGTTATGATTATTGCAGTAGCAAATCATATATCCATTTTACCAAAAATGTATGTTTGTACCAGTAAAGTTCTTTTATACAGAAGATAAACTGAAGAAGAAAAGACTACCACAAATTATTTCTTTAAGGCTAAGAGCAAATATACAACGATAAAACTATATAATAAACAACTGTTAGTATGGGAAGAAAGAAAAAAAAACAGTTAGACATTAGTTTATTGAGTGCCCTCTAAGTAACAGGTGCTTTATTAACACAGGTTCTCCTTTAATCCTAACAAATGTGTGAAGTAGCCAGTATTTTCTCTACTATGCAAATGAAGAAATCAAAGCTCAGCAGGACTAAATAACCAATTGTGTGACCTGAAGCAAGAAAATAGCAAAGCAGAATTTTGAAATTTGAATACCAGGCTCCAAATCCTAGACTCTTTCCACCATACTTTCCACTATACTTGGTGATAGTTACTTTGGAAAACAATGTATCAAATAATCATATTCAGCAATGAGATTTCTCTAAAGGGAGGTCAACTATGTCTATACCATCGATCTAAAAATGACTTTCTTTGGATTAATAAAATGTGGTATATGTATACCATGGAGTACTATTCAGCTCTAAGAAACAATGGTGACATAGCACATCTCATATTTTCCTGGTTAGAGCTGGAACCCATACTATTAAGTGAAGTTTCCCAAGAATGGAAAAACAAACACCACATATACTCACCAGCAAATTGGTATTAACTGAACAGCACCTAAGTGGTCACATAGGTACTACAGTAATAGGGTATTGGGCAGGTGGGAGGGGGGCGGGTATATACATACATAATGAGTGAGATGTGCACCATCTGGGGGATGGTCATGATGGAGACTCAGACTTGTGGGGGGAGGGGGAGAATGGGCATTTATTGAAACCTTAAAATCTGTACCCCCATAATATGCCCAAATAAAAAAAAAATAAAAATAAATAAATAAAAATGACATTCTTCTGTCAGGCAAGATCATTCTTCCCCAATCCAGCACATATCACGGGTAACCATGACAAACTATGATCCCAAACTATTAGTGTTGCAGCTGATACCCCTAAAAGATCTCCCTCTCTTCTACCTCAGAAATGATCCTGCTAGCCTGTGCTTGTTATTTTCTCAAGGAGTTTCATAATGCACACTTATTCATTCGGTCAATATTTGGGTGTCTTCCCCATAAACTACCACACTCTTCCTTCTCAGTCCAACTTTTTAAAATAATTATCTATACCTAGCAATTTCCAACTCTTGCCCTACCACCCACTTCTCAGCCCACTACAGTTTGGCTTCCACCTCTCCATTGAAATGGCTTCACATAAAGTTATAAATGATCTTTGTGTAACTAATCCAATGGACACTCTCCAGTCTTTATCTTACTTGACCTTTCAGGAAAATGCAGACATTGTTACCACTCTCTCCACTTGGCTTTCCAAAAATACCCACCTGGTTTTGAAGGTGCTGCTTCACAGTCTTGGTAGTCTTAATTTCCTCTAACCAATCTAAAATGTTAGCATTTCTCAAATCTCAGTTCTATTAATAAATCTTCTTCCCTTTTACTTTATACCTTCTTCCTGGGATTTCATCAATTTTCATGACTTCAATTACCACGAATATGCCAATGACTCCCAAAAGTCATATCATTCCTCCAAGTTCTAGAGCCATTTATCCAAATGAGAACTTGACACTGCATTAAACATTTCACAAGCATTTTTTAAAGGTTTATTTTTATTTATTTATTTTTTTTGATACAGAGTCCTGCTCTGTTGCCAGAGCTAGAATGCAGTGGCAACATCATAGCTCAGGGCAACTTTAAACTTATGGGCTCAAGGAATCCTCCTGCCTCAGCCTCCCCAATAGCTGGGGTTACAGGTGCATGCCACCACTCCTGGAGGATTTTTCTTTTTCTTCTTCCCCCGCCCCAGTAGAGATGGGGTCTCATTATGTTGCCTAGGCTGGTCTCAAACTCCTGGCCTCAAGTGATCCTCCTGCCTTGGCCTCCCAAAATCCTAGAATTACAAGCGTGAGCCACCGGGCCTGGCTTTCAAAGGCATTATATGCCCCAAACCAAACTCTCTCTCCCTCCTTCAAATCAAATCTGACTCTCACCTAACACTCTCTACCTCAGTAATTGATGGGAACCAATATCCATCCAATTATACAAGTCAGAAACTTCAGAATTACTTTTTATTTTTTTAATAGAGACAGGGTTTCACTATGTTGCCCAAGCTGGTCTGGAACTCCTGGCTTCAAGCAATTCCCCTATCTCAGCCTCCCAAGTAGCTAGAATTACAGGCATGAGCCACTATTCTTGACAGTTCTCTCTCTCCTACGCTCCAGATTCAACATGTCACCAAGGCAGGTATATTTTACCTCCCAAATACCTCTCAAATGCATCAACTTTTCTCCATTTCCACTAGCACCTCTTAAGTCTATCTCACTTGGACTACTTCAGCAGCCTCTTAACTATTCTCCTTAAATCCATTCTTTCCTAGCTTTAATCTGCTGTTATACCCTCCAGCCAAATAATCATTTTAAAAAGTTACCCCATTATCCTTTATTATACCCCTTATTATAAACTATCATAGCACCCATACGTCTCCTTCTTAACACTTATTGGTCCATCTTTAATATTTATTCGTATGATTATCTGTATCTCCATTCCTAAGATAGTGCCTGGCATGCAAGATGCACTCAGTATCTGTGGAACAAATGCCTACTATAAAATGACATTGGGCCACATGCCAATGAGAACGTACAGATGAAAACCCAGTAGTTTTCAGATAAAGAAAATGAAGTTGTGAATGTAGGTGACTTACCCAAGCAGTAGGTAACAGAACTAAGTATGTTTCTAGTGTCCATACTCTTAACCTTTATGCATACCATTAACACAAGAGAATTCTGCAAATGTCTATACATTAGTAAAAATAAAGGTAAATTTGTGTTGTATCTTGATAAAATACAAAATATTTTAAGAAAGTTCTACTGACATTGCAAGGTTAAGAGTCACCCTAGCATTCTAACTCTTTAAAATGGCACAACAGTCTGTTCATTTCTTATTTTGGGTAATTATAGCTTACATAAATATTAATATAATTCTTGCCCACTCAAAACATACCCATTTACATCTGTTATTATAGAAAGTATTAATATGTCTATGTCATATAATATAAACACCTTTTCCTAAATTATATTCAGATAATTCACTAAACCATGTCTATGGTTATCCCCATATCAACTTTAATATTTCTGTCATAATCAGATTTTGATACATTTGACAGTTCAAAATTTCAAACTCCTCTACTTTTACTATGACTAACTTACAAAACATTCAACCAAATTACCCTGTCTTCCAAATCCAACGGTTCATCCTTAATCCTGAAAAGTCTGAGGATGTGAAGTAAGGACAACCATCACAAAGTTCTTCCAGTGATCTGCCATTTCCTAGTGAATCCTAAATATAGGTCTAATTAATTGACCAACCCAAAGGACAAGTCTTTACTTTAGGAAATTTAAATCACTATAAATGTGACTCTAGACTTAATCCAACTGAAAATCAAAATCTCTACCACAATCTCTTTTCTGGGCAGGAATCTCAGACCTTGTGAAGCACATCCTTCATGATTAACCCTCCTTCCTCTCAAAGAAGCCTCATCCTCTCCTAAACCCCTCTTGGAAGGCAAAAACAGAGAAACCAGAAATATTTACTTTTTTCATTTATTTTCTTTTTCTCACTCTTGTTTTTGCCTCCCTTTTTATCAGATGAAACTTATTTAACGAAAGCTCACATCAGGGCCTGTGGACTACAGAAGCTCCCTTGAGTTTATAATCAATCATGACTATTGAATAGTTTGGTGCTTTTAAATGTACATTTTAAATTATTAGCAAACAAAGAATATGGCTCTTAAATAGCACACAATTTTGTCAAGATTTTCTTACAACTCTGGCTAGGGCATTTCAATCCTACTACACATATTTTCAATTAGTGTTGGGTCACCATGGGGCAGGTGAAATTCCTTTTCAATGATAGCTATATCCCAATGCCCTAGATAATAATAAATCATTCTGCCAGCTACAGCTACATAGCAACTTTCAAGTCTCACCATTCTAATCATTAACTGGGTAACAAACTACAAGACTAGTGCTGAGGAAAGTAGAAATACAATCTTAAATAATGTAATCACTCTATTAAAATAAGTGTCTCTTATTTATTATTCTGCATGTCACAAGTGGATTACAATGTTAAAAAAGATTCTATGTCAGAAGATATTTGCCAAAATAATGTGACAGACTTTGCTAGTATCAGAAGACAAACTGCTATTGATACAGATGACAGGTCCTGATATTCAGTAGGTTAGGTTAGAATTATGGTTTCTTTGTTTTTGCTGTTGTTTTAGTAAATGGTAGGTAAATATTAACCTTTATCATTTTTCAAAACTGAAAATACCCCTTTGTGGGGGACTTTGGTCAGTGTATTTAACCAAATTATATTCTGCTTTGGCTTCTCAAAGTAGCATGTGTCACCATTTCTCATAGTATGGCTGACAGAGGAATATCCAACTAGTTGCAAGATTTCATTAGTCACTTAGTCACCGAAGTAGTCTACCTATGTATGGCAAAAGAAGAAACTTAAGCAGGGGGCCTTCATGACTTTGTACCAGAGCCCATTTTCCTATATTTCTACTTCTTATTATAAATACTTCAGTCTTCAACTTTTTCCTATTTTCTGCTGACAGTAACACTCACTCCCTTCTTACCCAGGCTAGATTTATCATTGATCTCCAACAAGTCTGCTGTAGTTGCTCAAAATAGCCCTTTGTACACCATGTGCTCTTTGTCTTCCTACCCTGAGTCCACTGGTGTCAACTGCTACAAGATACTCTGCAGCAACTGACTGTCCTTAATAAATGAGGTTCACTTACCACTACGATCCTCAGATACAGCCAAAGCAGACATTATTCTTACTATAATTTCCATATCCATAAATGCAGCCATGTGATCTTGTCCTTGAGATCACACAGTAGTAGACGTAAGACCAGAATCAGACTTCCAAACCAAATGCTTTTACTACTGGATCATACTTTGAACCCTTGAAATAAAGTTAGTTACACAAATTGCCCACTCACTGAAAAATCAATGTCAAATCCTGAGGAAGAGGGAAAAGTCCATGAAAAAAACTTATCTTCATAAAAGGTAATTACTGATTTATTTATAGATTTGGTTAATAATTAGACTATATTTAACGGCAGCACTAAGAACTTCACTCATACTGTGGGACATAAGGTAAGTTTAAGTATAGATAACCACACTAGCTATAAAGTTGAGCATTATCCATAACCCGCCTAACAAGTTTTGATAACATCACAATTTAAGAAACTTTTTCTCCAACTGAGCCACTGGGTCAGACAGAGACAATATTTGGAAAGAAGCACTTTTAAAACTCCTTTCTCTTATCCATACCCTTTGAAAAAAAGTAAAATACAAAAAATATCACTTCCCTCTGCTGTACTGCATAACTATACTAGGAGTATTTTCCAAAGCAAACTGGGATATTCTCTTAGAAGTGCCTAAAAATTTTTAAGGAAAAAAATATACATTTTTATTACATTTAATCATCTATTTAACAAGCTGCCTTCTGAAGAAGACAATTACTTAAAATTAGGACAATCAGGGAACACTATAAATGGATGTGATCATTATACACATCTATTTCTTAAACTCTATAGAAAAAAAGAAAGGATGAATTCTTATTCATCAAAAGAAGTTATGATGAGAACTGGTATGTTTAGCTCATTCAACCTGTATTTTAAGTTAGCTCTTAACTAGTTTACATTCAAGAAACAAAATCTTCATGTTTTTGGAGCTGAATACTAAGAGAAGTTATGACTACCCAAACCATGACATTCCTACCTCACACACATCTTTGTTTACTTCTATTTCTAGTTTGCTCTTTCCAACCATGAAGCTTCATTTGAGTACCCTGCCCATGAGCTGTGGGACTACTACTCACATACAAGTAAATCAGAAGATCTGAAATATCTGATTCCAGAAAGAAGTCAGTTAGAAATAATCAAAACATTTCCCATAGTGTTCTGGGCACTAGGAACTGAGATACAAACTAGGTTCTGACTTCAATGCTGCTTAAAGTATAGCTAGGACTACACTAAACAATTTTCCAAAAGAAAAGTCACCAGCACATGAAATCATATTTAAACAGCAGACTGTGTTAGTGGTACCAAATTGGTTTATTAGCTTAATAATGATAATAAGAACAGCAGAAGCAACATTTGAGTGCCAGCTGAGGGCCAGGACTATGCTAAATACTTCACACATTGACTCATACATTATCTCATCTAATTTCACAGCACTATGAGGAAGGCACTATTAGCATATTTTTCCTAATGAGGATGAGGAAGGAAGGAAATATGGATAATGAGGAAACTCAAAGAGTTGAGATGAACTGCCCAATGTCACACAGTAATAGATGGAGCTAGACTTCAAACCATAGAAGAACAGCTGACTCTAATATATTGCCTTTTCATTTACATAGCAAATATTTGAATGCCTACCATGTGCCACACTTTCAAAGCACTAGGTGTTTTCACCTAGTAATGCGGATGGATTGGTAACTTCTGAACTATCTACAGGAATTATTTCAGAATTCAAGCACTAGCCAAAAGTAATGTTCCCAGAGGTTTATGTTATCTCTGCTATAAAATAAGAGCAATGATCTCAGGGGACCTGGGAGCAGTGGCTCACACCTGTGATTCCAGCTACTCAGGAGACTGAGGCTGGAAGATCCCTGAAGGCCAGGAATTTAAGACCAGCCTGGGCAACATAGAGGAACCCTATCTAAAAATAAATAAACACACAAACACACACACACACACACACACACACACACACACACACACACATATATTATATATCTCTCTCCTAGCGGGGCATGGTAGTGCATGCCTATAGTCCCTATATATCTCCTGGCTGGGCATGGTAGTGCATGCCTATAGCCTATCTACTGGGGAAACTGAGGCAGGAGGCTCCCTTGAGCCCAGGGATCAAGGCTGCAGTGAGCTATAATTGTACCACTGCACTCCTCCTGCCTGGGTGACACAGTGAGACCCCGTCTCTAAAATAAACAAATAAATAAAATTTTAAAATGTTCTTAGGAAAAATTGTGTTAAAATAAAGATAGGAATACCTATCTCATCTTACAAGGTTCTGTGTACTTCTTAGGTATAAAGACCTTATCTCACTCATTCTTAGTAATCTCAGTGTTAGGACGTGACAGGCACTTAATAACTTATCATACAGTATTATTTCTTACGAGCTGTCACAGTAAGCGAGATTCTATTAGAGATCCATAGGTTTTGTTTTATTTTTCCACCTATTTTTCTATCTCTAGAGGTAGGGCATAAAATGAGGCTAATACTACATACCTCACAGAGTTTTGTGATTACAAGAGTTTATGTAAAACATTTACCAAAGGCACATTCTAGGCATTCAATAAATAATAGCTTCTCTTTTCATTTACCTCTCTAGTACCTAAGCAGCAAACCTACCTCTCCCATTACTGACGCAAATGAACCAAAGGCAAGGCAAAACCTGGCTTAACAAGCTGCCAATTACCTAAAGAGCTCATCCGCTACACATTTCCTATATGTCATTTTCCTAGACACCCCACCCTGAAAAAGACTCAGGAAACATTTTCAAGCAGTGACAACTAAGGACTAACCACGAGGTTCTAACTATATCTGCTGGAATGCATTACCAAAGGTCACTCTGAACTCTATATACATGATTCACTCGAAATAAGGGGAAGGACAAAGGTCTTCCTTTCCTGTGAAAACTTGAAAGGAATGTATACAACAGCTATGCTATTTGAAGACAAAGTCTATGGGCACGTTACTGAACAGGGTAAATTAGTTACATCCTCCAGTATGATATAATCTCATTGCTAACTCTTATTAGGAGTCTGAGACATGAAAAATTAAAGTGCCTTTTTTAGACAGCAGGCACATGCTCAAAATGGTAAGTGGAAATTGACTCTGAAACTACATCATAACTAAACAGGATTAAGATGAAGTCATAAAACAATTAAGCCACCTAAAATAATCATTGCTTTTATAGCCAACTAATTCCCCCAATCCCTTCTTCCTCACCCTCTCCATTTGTTACAATCTTTCCCAAATCTGGAGTAGTTAATCTGCATTCAAAAATTATAATCCTCAAAAATACATCTCCCAGTTCTAAATTATACCACCTCTTAGCTGGGTTGTCTTGCATGAGTTTCCTGACTACCCTAGGCTTCAGTTCCATCATCTACTGAATGGAGATGATCAAGCTACCCTCCCTGAGCAAGCTGTTGAGAGAATGCACAGGCTGCACAAAGGCTACACAGCACTAAATAAATGTCAGTTATTATTATTCACTCTGACGTGTAGAAATAAAAGTTACAAAATTCACTATCAAAAATACCATGAATGGATGTCATATTCCAGCCATACTCTTCTCTTTCCTGTTATAAAATGCCCTTTCCTCCTTTGGCCTTCAACACCTGGTCTTTGCTATGCTTGCAATCTTCCTCCAGGCTCCTTCATGACCAACTCATTTTCATCCTTAAATCTCAAGTCCAATCTCTCTGTTCAAAAATCCTCTCCTCAGAGAAGGCTCCCTTGAGATTGCTATCCCCAAAGTTTCACTCTCTTATAAGGTTGTTTTAATTCTCTCATAGCCTTTACAAATATCTTTAATTGTCATATAGCAGTATAGAGAACTTAGTTTTTTTACACTGGTATTTTCAACTCCTAGCATTGTACTAAGCACACAAAATGTGTGCTCAATAAATAAACAAAAATGATGCAAAGTCAAGTATTTTAAAACATTGCACTCACACGACATAAAAAACAATGTCGGGTTAACATATGTCAAAAAAAATATTTGAAAAACAAGGGTTAGAGGGAGAGAGAAAATGGAGGGGTAATACACAATAGTTTTTCTTTGCTGCCTAACTGCACAGAAGAATTCAAATAATGGAATTTATACAAACGAGGATGTACAATTAAGTTCATTCAAAAGTTTTAGGAATATTAACTCTAGTTTTTCACACAGGGAGTAATCATTCCTAAGACTTGGGCAATAAAAACAGTGAAAGTGACCAGAGTGTACCTAACTCTACTTTCTGAAGTAAGCTGAAATTCAGGACTTATCACTGTATAAAGTAACAGTTTTTCCATTTGTTTAATTACATTCTACCACAAACCTATAAAGATCAATTTCCACTATGGCTGGGATTACCACTATGTGGAGATCATATGTGTGGTTTTTACAGATTACTGAGAAAACACTAAGCTTTAAAGACATTCCCAGGCCTAGTGCGGTGGCTCATGCCTGTAACCCTAGCACTCTGGTAGGCCGAGGTGGGAGGATTGCTCAAGGTCAGGAGTTCAAAACCAGCCTGAGCAAGAGCAAGACTTACTCTACTCTTACTCTTACTCTACTAAGACTCTTACTCTACTAAAAAAATAGAAAGAAATTAATTGCCCAACTAAAAATACCGGGCAGGGTGGCACATGCCTGTAGTCCCAGCTATTCAGGAGGCTGAGGCAGAAGGATTGCTTGAGCCTAGGAGTTTGAGGTTGCTTTGAGTGAGGCTGACACCACGGTACTTTAGCCCAGGCAACAGAGTGAGACTCTGTCTCAAAAAAAAAAAAAAAAGACATTCCGTGAGTAATCATAGGAAATGTTTTAAAGTTTGTATTTTTATCTCTACTGGTACTTTTTTTACACTGGTATTTTCAGCTCCTAGCATTGTACTAAGCACACATAATGTGTGCTCAATAAATAAACAAAAATGATTCAAAGTCAAATATCTTAAAGCATTGCACTCACACGACATAAAAAATAATGTCAGGTTAACATGTCAAAAGAAATATTTGAAAAACAAGGGTTAGAGGGAGAGAGGAAATGGAGGGGTATTACACAATAGTTTATCTCTACTATACTTTTTAATACTTTTATGCTTTTTAATACAAAAGTAGTAGATATTATTTCTACTAATTGTTATGTTATAGATGGGAGGATTATAAATGATTATTATACTTGACAAACATATCAAGCATATTAAGTGCAAGGCACTTCTCTAAGTACTTTATATATTGACTCATTTAAGTCTCATTTAAGACAACAATCTAAGGTAGGTACTTTCATCATTATACAGCTAAGGAAACAGGCATATAGAGGAAACTTTCCCAAGGTCACACAGTTTGTAAATGAAGCAGCTGGAATCTGAATCCAGAGTCCATCACTAGACTATGCTGTCTAATATATTAAAGAAAAACCCATAGTTTATAAAGAATAAGTCATACCCAATTTTAGACAAGTTTCAGTTAAGAAAAAAAAACTGCCTGAGTCAACTGGACTTTAAACCTAAACAACAATAAGGCTGAAGGAAGACGAGGAGGAGGAGGTGAAAGGAGTAAAATGAAAAAGATAAAAGGAAAAAGGAGGACAGAGGGAAAGAAAAGAAAGCTACCTATAATCACCATTCATTATCTCTGGATGGCAAATGCTTTTTTGAAAAGAAAATAAGAGACAAGATAGTATCTATATAATCCCTAATAAACTTGTACAGACTGTATATTTCCATCCCAAATGCTGAATTAAGGAACCTAAATTAGGAGGAAGTAGACAATTAACACTACAAATTTCTTTCCATAAAAACTGAAGCTACATGTTAACCAGTTCACTTTAAAATCTGACAGTTTAGTGACTTTGCTGCCAACTTTTCTTTTTTTTAATTAGGTAAATATTAACAATATAAATTTCAATTTCTTATCCAAAAGAATCAGAATAATTCCCCAAACTGAGTAACACATCGGAAAGCTTGGTAGAGCTCAGCCAAAAATGACTAAATAAGAGATTAATAAAGATTCATAGCATGTCCATGAGTTTCCAAAGGATGTAATTCAAAGAGAATATAAAGGAACAATTTACATTTCATAAAATCTATAGGGGGAAAGTTCTCTAAACATTTCCATACCCTATTCCAAGTAAGGTAAATTTAAGTTAAAACTCAACTAACTAAAACCAACTAGAGCCCAATAGTAGCAATTTCCTCCAGCCTCTGCTTTTGTTCCAAACAACCCATTAAAGAAAGAAAAATCTTTGCAACAGGATTCCAGTATGACCCAAGAATATGCCAGTTTGACAAATTTTTGTTCATTTTTTGAGACTCCTTCCCTCTCTGACTAGAAGCAAAGAGAAAATTTAAATAAAACAGAGACACAAAACCAGTAAACTCCCATCCGAAGCAAAAAAACTTTCCATAATATAATAGAAGTTAACAAAAGCTGAAATGACAAGTCAGGATAGGCACTATGTTCTATTTATTTGTTTATTTATTTACTTATTTTTATATTCAGTCCCTAACACAGTGCCCAGCACCTACTAGCCAGTTAACAAACATGTGCTGAATAACGAATGAATGAACAAATAAATGCTAGGAGAAAAGAGAAGGCACAAAATGCTGGATACTTTTTAGCAAGTGAGAATCTTTCCAAAATATTTGACTTTTTTTCCCCTTAAGGAAGGGACCCAGATTGGGGCTTAAGAAAAGGACCACTCCTTAGGGATAATCCTTAAGGAGTAAAATAATGTCAGCATTATGGCAATGACATAGCATTTGAAATAATTACTGGTGTAGAACAAGTAACATGGATTCCACAACCAACTAGTATTGGTTGCCAATGTTTTTGCTGCCCAATTTTACTCTACACA